TATCCTAGCTACTTCTAGACTACCTCCAGATCTCACAGTGCACAATATTTGAGCAGTAAAAGCATTCTTTGGCAGAAAGGAGAACTCTTGGTTTAAATGCAGGAATAATAAAGAAGAATATTTAATGCTATGTAACGGAAAGTGTCACCTTGCCTCCCTGTGTCACCAAACCACTTAAAAAGCATCTTTTTACAACATGTGTGGGCGCCGGGCCATTCAGAGCAAAAACCACTCACCTTGGGAAGGGCATAGAGATGACATAACGGCTGTCCTGTTTTCTGTTTACAAAATGCCAGAGTGTGACACACCACATCAGCATTCACATCTGCATTAAGCCTGGAGGGAAATGGGGCAAAACAAAGGATATTAGGATCTCTCAGGCAGTAGAAAATAGCAGCTATTCTAAAGAAAGGTAAATCCCCAGAATAGATTCTAATACTCTCAACTCATTTCACCATGGTTTTTGAGTCCAGCCTCTTTTTGCTGCCAGATGATTTCCTGCCTCATTGCCTCGCTCACATTTAGAAGAAGGTCCTGGTGGGTGGGTGGGAAGGGGGCATGAGCAGAACTGAACTTTGATTCAGCCTCTCATAGGAGCACTGTGATTCTTCATAGGAGAAGCTAGAAATAATATATAGAGAGGGAAAATCTACAGGGGTGCAATTTAATCAGAACAATATTTAGGAATATGTTGGGCCTTGTAGCAAGGAATCATATGTAAGATAAATGTAAACACCTATAATTACTTTCCTAGCAATAATCCAAGTCATCGTCTTTCTTTTTAAAGTAAACATTTCTCTTATTCCCCTGAAAGAACATACAATGTTGCTGACTTGGTTCTTTCTGTGGGGTGGCAGAAAGAAGACAGGTTTAAAACATTTGGGTCCACATCTAGGTTTGCAGAGGGACAAAAAAATGTTCATATTTCTTTTATTTCCACTTAAACTCAAAAAGTCCATATGGAAGAAACAGCTTATGTGATCCAAGGATTGGAAATAATAAAATCCAAATGTGGATGAGGGAATGGTAGTAGAGCTTAACTCCTGAAATCTGGTTTGCAGAAAGGCAGGGATGACAGCAAAAGCCCCTAATCAATGTGCAGGGTCCTCATGTGGATGAAGCCTCGAGTGACTGCCCTCTGATCATAGCCCAGGGATGTGAGCAGTCTGAGGAATCTTGCTCTCAGAGTGCATTGCAAAGTGGATTATTGCAGATGTAGTTAGGTTAAAATCGCAAAACCTTATCTCCCTTTTGACCCATGCTAAATGTGCTCCCATTTTGAAATATTTTCTCCTCTTTTCTTTAAAAAAAAAAAACTTTTATTGGGGGCTCTTACATCTCATCACAAGCCATGCATTGCTCCAGTATGTCAAGCACATTTGCACATATGCCGCCATCATCATTTTCAAAGCATTCTCTTCCCACTTGAGCCCCTGATATCAGCTCCCCATTTCTTCTCCCTCCCTTCCCCACCTGCCCTCCCTCATGAACC